CGCACCCATGCACACAAGCTCACTCACACACACATTGTTAGAGCTAATACACAAATTGGAGGGCTGGCAGATGGCTTGGTGGTTGAGGCCACTGGATTCCCACATGCGTAACCATGGTTCAAGTTCTGAATCTGGCAGTTTATTTTCTCACTTTCTGCTATCTCTCTCTTTCTCTCTCACTCTGTCCCTCTCTGGTCAAATTTAAATAAATAAATAAAGTTTAAAAAATTATTGCTTTGGAAAAAAAAAGAACTAATACACAAATTAGGAAAGATGTAGGATACAAAATCAATTATGAACTATTAATAGAAAGCAAATTTAAAAATAATCAGTTCCCAGGGCCAGCATGTGGCATGGTGGTTAAGGCGCTGATTCCCACATGGCTGACCATGGTTCAAGTCCCAGACTCAGAGGCTTGAAAATCACACTGGGTATGCGTGTGTATGCTCAAAATCCAAAGAGAAGAATGGAAAAGGGATTGCAGTGTGGCCAGCACCTCTGGAGGGTGATTTCTCACTTTCCCTTTCTCTGCTTCTCTCTGGCAAGTGTACATGCCCCATGACAAAACTGAAAATAAACAAACAAATATTTACAATACTATTAAAAAAATAAAATACTTAGAAATAAAGTTAACTAAGCAATTAAAAGGCTTATATGCTGAAAACCATAAAACGTTGATAAAAAGAAATAAAAGAAAACACAAATAAATGGGGAAAAATCTCATGTTCATGGATTAAAAGAAACTGAATGACTAGAGGATATCAAAACATAGAAAATGCTTATAGGTACCAGATACAGTGATAAAGAAATGTAAAGACGCAGTAACATTCAACTCGAGAAAGTTGTCACCTCTCATTGGCTGGTCTGGGGAATGTGATTTGGAAGGTCGTATGTGGACACGTCAAAAGTACTGGCAATGATCTATTTCTATGGGTGGAAGCTAACAGGTGTTATTATGATTACTATGTATATATTACATATTATTATGCATCTATTACATACATATATATGTGTGTGTATATGTATATACATATATATATATATATATATATATATGTTAAACAAAAAAGACTTAATATTTTTAAAATGTCTGTACTGCCCAAGTGATCTACAGAGTCTATGCAATCCCTATCAAAATTCCAGTGACATTTCTTATGGGAAAGAGAAAGTAATTCTAAAATAACAGGGAACCACAAAAGACCCTAAATAGCTGACATGATCTTGAGCAAAAATAAAGTTGGAAGCATCACATTTCCTGGTGTCAAAATCTATTATACAGTAATTAAAACAGTATAGCTGGGACCAGCAGTTGTCATAATGGCTATGTCGCTGGACTCCCATGTAGTCGACACGGTTTGAGTCCCGGACCCGGTGGCTTTAACTCATGCCATGAGCGAGTGCGTGCGTGCCCAAGATCCCGAGAGGAGAATGGAGGAGAAGGGATTGCAGCGTGGTGGCCATCCCCCCTGGGGGGTGATTTCTCGCTTTCTATCTCTCTGTCTCTCTCTGTCTTTATGGGGAATGCACACGTCCTATAGCAAAAACCTCTCAAAAAAAAAAAAAAAACAAATAAAAAATAAAACAGTATAGCACTAGCATAAAAAGAGACATATAGACAAATAGAACAGAATACATAGCCCAGAAATAAACCCATGCATACAGCCACCTGATCTTCAGCAAGGGTACTAGAACACTCCACAGGGAAAGGATTGACTCTTCAATAATTGATTGAAAACTGGGTATCCAAATGCAAAGAACGTAATTAGAATCTTTTACATCAGAGACAAAAGTCAACTGAAAACAGGTTGAAGACTTAACCCTGAGCCCTGAAATTGTGAAATTTCTGTGAGAAAACTTACTGATACTAGTTTTGGCAATGACTTTTTTTGGATGTGACATCAAAGGCGCAGGTAACAAAAGTAAACATAAACAAGTGGAATTATGACAAATTAACAGGCTTCTGTAAAGCAAAGGAAATACTCAGAGTAAAAAGATAATCCATGGAATGGGAGAAAATGTTCTCAAACTGTATTCCTGATAAGGAGTTGGATCCAAAATATATAAGGGACTCTACCAACTAAGATAAATGTAACAAAAAAATACAATTTTTAAAATAACTTGTTTAAAACATGGGCTAAGGACTGAAATAAACATTTTTCCAAAGAAGACTTAGGAAATACTCAGAGTAAAAAGATAATCCATGGAATGGGAGAAAATGTTCTCAAACTGTATTCCTGATAAGGAGTTGGATCCAAAATATATAAGGGACTCTACCAACTAAGATAAATGTAACAAAAAAATACAATTTTTAAAATAACTTGTTTAAAACATGGGCTAAGGACTAAAATAAACATTTTTCCAAAGAAAACTTACAAGTTTGTTTTTTTTTTAAGAGGTTTTTGCTATAGGGCATGTGCGCTTGCCAGACAGAGAGAGACAGAGAGACAGTGAGAAATACCCCCCCAGGGAGGATGGCCATGCCGCAATCCCTTCTCCTCCATTCTCCTCTTGGGATCTTGGGCACGCACACACACGCACCTGGCGTGAGTTTTAAGCCACTGGGTCTGGTACGCTAACCACAGTCGACTACATGGGAGTCCAGCAACCCAGTCATTACACCAACTGCTGGTCCCAAGAAGACTTACAAGTGACCATCAGATGTATGAAAAGATGCTCTACGTCATGAATCATCAGGCAAATCCAAATCAAAACCACAGTAAGATATCACCTCACATCAACAGGATTATCATTGTCAATAAATAAATAAATAAAAATACCAAGTGCTGGCAAAGCTGTGAAAAAATTGTAATCCTTGTATATTATTGATAGGAATATAAATTGTGTAGTCAATGAAGAGCAGTATGGAGGTCCCTCGACAAATTTTTTAAATGACTGCTATCATTTAGCAGTGCCATCCTGGGTATTTAGCCAAAAGAATTTAAATCAGGCTCTCGAAAAAAGATTTGCACTCTCAACTCTCATATTCATTGCAGCATTACTCACAAAAGCCAAGCCAAAAGGTCAAAGCTTGCCAAATATCTATTGACAAATGAATGGATAAAGAAAGTAAATCTATTCAACCTTATAAAAGAAGAAAACCCTATAATATATAAAAACATGGCTGAACCAGGAAGACGTTATGCAAAGTGAAATGAGCCGGTCAACAGAAGGACAAATATTGTATGAGTTCACTTGTATGAAGTATTTAAAATAACCAAATTCAGGGACCAGCAGTTGGCATAATGGCTATGTCGCTGGACTCCCATGTGGTCGATCGCAGTTCGAGTCCTTGATCTGGTGGCTTAAATTCACACTGGGTGTGTGTGCGTGCACAGGATCCAAAAAGGAGAATGGAAGAAAGGAGATTGCAGCGTGGCCATTCCTCCTGGGGGGGTGATTTCTCACCTTCTGGCTCTGTCTCTTTCTGGCCAGTGCACGCACCCTCTAGCAAAAACCTCTCAAAATAAATAAATAAATAAAATAACCAAATGCACAGAAACAGAAAGTGAAATGGTGGTTACCAGCAGCATCTGGAAGGGGGAAATAGGAAGATGCTATTCAACCCATGTAAAACTTCAGTTATGCAAGACGAATAAATTTGAGAGCCCTGCTATACAACATCATGCCTGTACTTAACAATACTGTATTGTCCACATTAAAGCTTGTGAAATGGATAGCTCTCGTGTTAAATGCTCTTATAACAATAAAAATAAAATTAGAAAACATGTTTAGGATGATGAGAAGGAAGGTTTTAAACACTTCCAATCATCAGATTACGGGATAATTTCTCAAGGGAAATGTTAAAAAAAAAAGATTAAAAAGCCATCATTCAAGATATTTGAAGCCAAACTAAAGAAAAGTACAGAAACACATAGAGTTGGCCTTGTTCTCCCTGCATGGATAAGAAGACCCACACAAGCATGACCTAAGACACCATGGGATTCCACAGACTATGAGCACTCTCCAGGCCACCACTACTGGGAAGGATGAAAGCAAAAGATTGAGCAGGAACTGATGACTCACAGCAGGAAGACTTGCTCAGCATGTTCCTGGCTCTGTTACAACTTCCCCAGGGTGCTAGAAAAGGAGCACTTTACACCAAGTCATCGTATTCCCAGCTCTGACAAGTTTCCTGAGGAGCCAGGAGGCTCTCACCCACTCCACCCTACTTTTGGAATTAGACTATGCTCTGTTTTTGTTTTCTAATCAACAACAACCCCTGTAGAAGACCACACAATCTATATAGACCCTTAAATCACAGGTCAGTAAACTATGATCCAAGGCAAATCTGGCCCATGACCTGTTTCTCTAAATAAAATTTCACTGGAACCCAGCCAAATCTATTTATTTGCATAGTGTTTATGCTTTCACAGTGCAATGGTGGAGGTGAGTTCTTGTGGCCAAGAACCTCACAGCTCACAAAATACTTGTTACCTGATTCTTCACTGAGGCAAACCCCTACTTGGACCAATAACTTGGAGAACACTGATTCATGCATCTCTAAGGTAAAATATGTACAACCTTTGCCTTCTCCCCTTCTTTTAGGTATGGAAAGGAAAACAAAATTTAATTTGAACAGAATATGTCAACTTCCCATAAATTCAGTCCAAGATGTCACATACTAGAGTCTGGAACACACATCTGTGGTACCTCAAAGAGTGTAGTTGGTTAAGAGTGGAGGCACTGGAATCTACAAAGACCCGAGTTTGAATCCCAGATTTGCTACTTATGTGCTGTGTGACTATAGCAAGCTACTTAATCTTTTCAGGCCTTCTCTTGAAGTAAGGTTAAAAAACAAGCAAACAAAAAAACATATCAAGTTCAAAAGGTTGTTGTGAGGGATGGATGAATTACCATATGGAAAGCACTCAGCACAGTGCTTGGTACATCAGTATGTGCCCCAAAAAACATACTAGCCTTTTGATGACTATAGTATCAAAAAATTAAAACTTAGGGAGACAAACTTTGCAAGATTGATTATGAAACTTGTTAAACATTACCTGAGCAGTTTTCTCCGGGATCTCCACAAAGATGGCCACTAGTTTCAGGATTTCTGGTTGTATTCCCATCTGCTACCACACCATGGAGGATCACGAGACCTTAAAGTTCAAACAGAACCAAAAATGCACTTGAGAGCTTGAAAGTTTGCTTAATGTGAAATATTCTATCAAAGTCATAACCCATGAATGAAAATAACAAGCCTGCAGCTTCAATCTCTGGGATTTTCTCTCCCAGCCAGGAAGTGAAAAGGCCAACATGTGTCAGTTTGTTCAGCTCAGGGCTAAAGACAAGATTTTCCCACCAGCAGCATTTATACCTAGCTGTGCATCTTAAGGGAGGAGACATGGTCACAACTTATGACAGAGCCTTATCACAAAAGCAGAAAAGCAGAGAGACAGTTCCCAGTCACAGGAGGATATGCTGATGAATTTCCAGAGAGAAGGGATGAGGAACCCATACAGAAAATACCTTCTCCATTCCACACAGACCCAGTGTTTCTCAGGTATTAACTCCTGAGTGTGTGTCTCTGGGGAAATGCGAAATGTGAATTTGATAATCCATCCATGGAACTTCTTTAAAAGTGTTCAGTTCCTCCCACTCTGTCTCTGAGAGGGGGAGGCCTCATATATGGTGAGAGAGGGAGAAAATTTGGTTGTGCTTAGAATGGTTCACTATACCATATGTAGTTCTTGTGCAGATAACCAGTTTAAACAAACTAATCTGTACAAGGTCACTTAAGAGATACTCAGGAAAATTTAACACAACTGGACATTAAATGTTATTAATAAATTGTTAGAGATATTTTAAGTATGATAATGATAATGTGGGTTAGGTTAAAAAACAGAGTCCAAGACCAGCAGGAGGCACAGAGGTTAAGGTGTTTGATTCCACATGGCCGACTCTGTGGTTTGAGTCCCAGAGCTGGAAGCTTGAAAATCATGCTGGGTATATGTGTATGTGTGCCCCACTGAAAATCATGCTGGGTATGTGTGTATGTGTGCCCCAAATTCTTAGAGGACACAGGAGGAGAAGGGATTGTGGTGTGATTGTCCCCCACCGGATCATGATTTCTCACTTTCCCTCTCTCTCTCTCTATCTCTCTGGCAAGCATATGAACCCTATAGCAAAAAATTAAGAGTTACTAAAAATAAAATGAAATAATAGAGTTCTATATCTCTTAGAGAAGTGTATTTAAATGTTATTAAGAAAATTAAGGTATTCAAGATTTGCTTTAAAATAATCCAGTATGGGAAGGAAGGTAGAAGATAAGAGAGGGAGAGGCATAGAGGAGATGAGATTGGCCACATGTTGATAACTTGAAGGTGGGGGGTTGGCATATCAAGGTTCATCATGCTTTTTTCTCTATCATCTTCATACATTTTTAAATGCAATGAAAAGAGGAGAAATGAAAGAAAATAAATGAGAAGAGGAGAGGATATGGAAGAAGAGAGAAAGAAAAACATGATTTGGGATTAGAGTCTGTTAAACATGACTTGAGGTGAGCAGCTGTTCAATTCAAGACTGCTTTTTGCCAGACAAATGTGCAAAGCGCTTCACACAGTGCTGGCATGTATTAAGTACTCAATAAAAATGACTAATTATTATGTGTCTGACAAATAAAACAGCCTGCCTTCTAGCTGTATTGAAATGTATATATCTGGCCAATGGTTTTAAAGCTACCCATGTTTTCCAATATAACTTCATTCAACCTTCATGAGTATCCAGTGACACCTAAGTGAATAGGACATGCTCAATCCTCAAGCTGCTCCAAAGGCACTAAGGCAGACAATTGACAACCAATTAACCATAATGCAAATTGATAGTTTGCACTCGAAAATAGTAGATGCTAGTAAGTTCAACAGCCAAAGGAGTTTTTTTTAAAGGGATCTTTCGCAATAGAAATTCTTTCCACTTATCTATTTAAAAACATTTTTTTGTTTTGTTGTTTTGTTTGGTTTTGTGTTTTGTTTTTTTTGAGAATGAGATTATGCCTACTGTTGAAAACATGAAAATATGATGAAAATGCAAATCCACTGGTGAAAGGTAAATCAGTATTACTCTTTAAAAGACAGTTTAACACAATACAAGACATAGTAAAAAAAAATAAAAACTTTTAAAAATGTACAGATCCTTAAATATAGTAATTACATTGCTAGTAATTTGCCTAAGGAAGTAATTCAGGATACATAAAAAGTTAGCTACTGAAGTACTCTATAAGATATGATTTATAAAAAAGTAGAACTCTCCTAAATACCTAACAATGGAAGAATGATTAAATACACTGAACTATCTTTGTGCAATAAAATGCTATTTGGCCATAAAAAAAAATCTTAAAACATTGATACAACATTTCACTGTATTTTTAAATAAGGAAATATACATTAGTGTGATCTGTGTGGGAGGTATACCTGTGTGTCTGTAGGTATAAAATAAAAGTATCTAATAGTCTAAAGTATAAAATAAACTAATCATTTAGGGCTTCTCAAGAATAGGAATTTTATATTATTTGTCTTTGTATTCTGGTACCTGATTCAGACATAATAAATATTCAACAAATGTGAAAGAATGGATAAATCAATATATAAACAATCTTCTTCAAATTCAAAAATGCCAGTACCAATTTCTAGTGGAAAATAGTAAGACATTTAATTCATCTCCAAAATCCACCATGTAGGCTTTTTCATAGCAAAGAGTCAGGAGGCCTTACTTCCAGAATTAATCTGCCCTAATGGTGGAAACTGGAAAAAAAAAATTAACCTCTAAATCTCATAGAAATTCAGCATCTTCAAACTGGGAATGGCAATATGTACTTCTCAGGATTATTACAAAAAATAAAACAAGTTTTCAATATATATAATTTTAAAAAAATATATAAATGCTAAAAAAATAATAAATAAAACAAGTTTTATAAGGAAAAGCACATACTACACCATTTTTGGTTGGGTTGCATTTCTTCCCACTCTCACTTATAATTTAGCCCATTTTTCTCCACTTTTATCTAATAGTCCCATTGAAACCCTGCCCAGACCTTCATTCTGACAAGATAAATTCTGTAATCCAGCTCTTCCTGCTAAACCTTTCTCCACATGCAGATATCAGTAGGCATAAAGGGCCACTATCCTCAGAGGCAGATGCAGAGCCCCTGCGGAGGAAGCATCCTCAGCAAACCAGCGGCCGAACCAAGCAGAGGGCACTGCAGCAGCACTGGTCCTCCTACCACCCATCCCTGCAACCTTCAGGTCCACAGCTGGTGACCGCGATCCAAATGTGACCTGCAAAATCATTTTCTTGCCCTGCAGTTTTTGGTAACTAAATCAAAACAGTTTTATATTAAACCTAATTTTCTGCTTCAAATAAAATAGCAGAAGACCTGACGACATGAATGTCTGAAACACTTTTCTCATAACTGGCTGGAGCCTCTTTAAAGTGTTGCAAATCCCATGAGGCTTGTTGTGCTCGCTTATTAGAATGGCCTGGACCCTAACTGGCTATAGAGTTCATGAAATGTAAGAAGTGACTCAGAAGTCAGAGACATTCTTATAAAACCATCTATGAATACTGAAGGCCGATAAAAAGATAGAGGACATGTCTGTGCCATCCATAATTCAACAGATACTTACTACACACTATGTGTTTGACATTGGTGTAAGACATTGAAGGGTCAAAGATAACAGCTATTCTCACTCACCTCAAGGAGCGCACAGAACTGTCTTTGTGTGTAAGGCAAACACACAAATCTTTAAGGTCGAATATAGTAAGTACAACGGGACTATCACAGGAGTAACTTAGGATGGAGAATCAACTTAGACTTGGCAAGGGCTTCATAGAGAAGTTCAGGTTTATGACGAATTTTTAATGAGAAATAATTTTGAGACATGAACCAATAAGGAAACACTAAAGTGTAAGTTGGATAACAATCATAGTGTATTATTTGTTTGAGTAGTAGGTAACATTCATGTGGTTCACCATGCGGAGAAACATTAATCATGTCTGTGCTATGTCAATTCTTAAACATTTTGAGTATCAGCTCTTTAGTTAACTATTGGGTCAACAGAAAAGTTATGATACATTTTTGCATAGGAAAGATATGTCATGGCTTTTCTGAGAATTCAGTATACTAGAATTATGAGAGAGGGAAAATTCCACAAGTGAAATCTAAATTTGACAAATCAAGAAGTAGCGTTATAAGCAAATTATTCAGCAACACAGAGGTGACTATCAAAAGAAACCAAAAAGTATCAAAGTTGTTGCTTCTAGGAAGGAAGAAAACTAGGACGGTTTGGTGTAAAGATCTGCTATTTGTTGTATTAAGCTTTTCAGTACTATATTTATATTTCAAATCTATGTAGATCTACTGCTTTTCAAAAAATACAATTAATTTTTAAGAAAAGGTAGATAGTTGAAATCAACCAGGGCATTCTAAACAAAAGAACAATTTGTATCAATAAAAAGGCTTGGATTGAGATAACATGACTTATCCCACTTGGAGAGTGGGTAGGAGTTGTGATGGAAGAGGAGGCTGGAGAGTCAGCAGGTAATGAAGGCCTACCAGCCAGGTTAATAAGTTTAGGTCTCATTATGCAGCTAAGATGGGGGTCACTGAAAAGTTTTAAATGAGAAATAACCTAGTTGCTTTTTATTTTTTCCAAGTTGAAATGGTTACTTAAATTCAGTGTAGGCGAATCAGACACATTTAAACCAAGATGGTGACACTAGGCATGGAGAAGAAAAAACAATATGAAAGCTATTCACAAGATAAAGCATGAAAGGCTTGGTGACCGGTAGGACTGGGTGGGAAGTAAGGGAAAAGGAGCTTAGGATGATGCCACAGTTTGTGGCTTGAATAACTGCCTAGATTGTCATACCAATAACAAAGATACAAAGAAGACAAACAGGTTGGGCATGAAGGGAGAAATGCCATTTGGGACACTCTGAATTTGTGGTGACTATGGATCATCTGGGAGATGTTAGGGGTGGATCCATAGATCCAACACTCTGGAGTGAGGCCAAAGCTACAGAGCTTATATATTTGGGAATTCTGGGAAATAAGCTGACATTTAATTCCCTGGGAGTGGATCTCTCAGAAAGAGCAATGTGA